ATTACAGCTTCATTGTGCGATCCATCTATGTATTCCTGTTTTTCTTTCAATGTCTGCTTTTGTGGTGAATCAGAAAACAGTGAAATTAAAGGATCATGTATCCATTCACAGACTTACACATTTTTTGAGGGGAAACAGAATTCCATGTTTTCTTGCAATGTTTTGAACACAAGGTTGAGAATCTTGACAGCTGAATTTGCTGTTAGTGTTGCTGGTGGAAACATCTCAGGTCAACAACACCCCCGCCCTTCGCTACTGCCTCTTGCCAAAGAGTCGGTTTTGACCTGGAACTGTAAAGTTTGTTTGTGATGGTTAGAATTATCTTGTTCTTTCCCTGCATTTTAGAATTCGGCTCATTCAGATGGCTGGAACTGTCTTGTAAAATATGCCAGCTTACACACCAGGAATCATCAGATGGTAACTGTTTATAAGTCAGTTCACATTTTGTTGAAAACGCTAGCTCAGGAATACCGGAGAGAAACTTCCCCAGCGATAACCGTTGCATCTCGGTGTGCAATGATAAACACTGATGCTCAACCCCCATCTCTGCACACCAATTAGTGAACAAACGTGATTTCAATGGCTGTGATTTTATCAGATTCCTGAGTTTCATGCCTTGCTCTAATACTTCAGCTACTTTCATGGCATTGTTTTGACTATAAGAGCTTCACGGTGGAGGATGCAATGGGTGATCTGAATGTCAAGATTTCACCTTACTGACAAATCCTTTGACTTTCTCCATCATGGAGACTGCTCCATTAGTGTAAATGCTCCAACACATGGCCCAGGTAAATTTGTTTTCCCCGAAGCAGGTTCTTCACCAGTCACATGATTTGGTAGCTCCTTACAAAATTTGCCCAAACAGAGTTCCCATGAACGTACTGAACTCTGGCCAGCAGTTTGCAGTGTCTGCTGCTTATATCAATGGACTCATCAATCTGAAAAACAAACCTCTCACTAGGAGCTAACTTCTCTTGCAGCACCTCCTCAGTTATCAGTTAAATGTCATTAATTCAGAGAGTGGAATTTTACTGATCTCCTTTGCAGCATCAGTTCCTAAGATCACACCATGATTTTTTTTTAACATACAGGTATGATTAAGGTCCTGGCAATGGTATGGAGCTTCTGTGATTTTGCTACAAACTCAGCCTTGACATAACTAACCTCTTGAGCTTTATCTGACGCCCACATACACGCCATCACATGTTAGGTCTGCTTGATGTTTTGTTCTCTTAAACTCTTGAAGTACTGAATTTGTTTGTTTGCAAGAGATAAATGTTCCATCTGTAAACGGTGTCTTACCTTATTTGGTACCATTGTAGAGTTTGCCAATTTCTGTCTGCAAATGAGATGATCAGGTAAGAGGCAAGAAGCAAGTCCTGTCCATGAAAATCCAAAGGCCAGATGGCTCTCATTCTACTGTGTTTGAACAGTTCTTTCCTTTTTTCTTTGGGTTCAGATGTTTCATCAACTGAATTAGCAGAGGAATTGCCTCTTTCATTAAAGAAACCTATTAATTTCTTCTTAGAGTCTATTTTAATACATACATCAGTGGCTTAACAAAAAGAAGCTCCAAAAATATTCACTATAAAATCTGTGCTAATATGGAAAAGTGTTCAGTCAGGCCGGCCAGTTCAACACTGTTCAACAATATGCAAATAGAAATTGGTGGAGAAACTTAGCAGGCCTGGCAGCATCTGTGCAGAGAAAGCAGGGTTAGCATTTCAGTTTCATTGACCCTTCTTCACAACTGATGGTAGCTAGGAAAAGGTTAGTGAAGATGTGATGGGGAAGAAGGGAGTAAGAGTAAACAATAGGTAAAGGTGGAGCCCAAGAGAGAAAGAACGATAGTTGTGTAGACAAAGGAACAATTCCAATAACAGTGCGCTTCTTTACTGAGCATGCTCAGTTTCTTCCCATCCTGGAGATACAATTCTCAATCATCACACATGCTCAGACCAAATATTTGGGCCTGTGCATGAGCAATTAGGCCCTATAACAAGTGGATTTCTCATTGTCTGCACATGGAATTTGATCAATGTCCATGCACATGTGGTATCAGAAGTCTGTGAATTTCACAGCACACTTCTCACTTTGCTGTGGCACACTGAAAACCTCTGATCTAGTAAACCCCAAGACCAATGTTCTGGGGACAAGGGTTCAAATCCTATGAAGGTGAAATTTGAATTCAATTTTAAAAAAAACTGGCCTTACGGTCACCATGTAAGGATTGTCATTTTTAAAGGAAAACTGCCATCCTTGCCTGGTCTCACCTACATGTCACTCTAGACCCACAACAATGTGATTGGCTCTGAACTGCCCTCTGGATAATTAAGGATAGGCAATAGATGCTGGCCAGTGATGTCATCATTTCATGAACAAATAAACAAAGGCAGCAACAATGTTGAATCTTTGAGAAATAATTGCATTAGCACCAATGGAACCATTTACGATACTGATTCAAGAATCAATAAAGACTGGAGTCAGAAATTAGAAAAATAAAAAAGAAATCTTAGCAGGTAAATAGAGTAATATGATTAATTATTGTGACCAGGTGAGATTGGTAAACCAGCTCCCCTCTATTCAGTAACCTCAGCTGGTTACAACAAAAGTTGAACTTTTTAGCATGAGTCTGTATCTCTTTCCAATGAAAATGCACTTAAGTATTTTTACATTCAGCATTAAGTTGCCAATTTCAAGTATCCTTATTTGAAAGAAGGAATTCATCACCTGTTAACAATGAGTAAATAATAGAGATGTGACATCAAACATGCAACTTCAAGAAGTCTCTTAGTCCCAAAAACACACACGCTGATACAAAGTTAAAAAGCGGATAGTGTCAATTACAAAGGTCAATAAATGAATATATTCGGTTCCAAGTCCTTTCGGGGTATTTGTGGCCTTAATTTTTAACCTGAGACAAAAGTTGACCTTTTTATTTCGAAAGTACAGTTTATTCATTTAAAAATAACCCTATTTTTGCATACAGTCATTAAAGCAGTTTGATTCTGTACAGTCTTCGCATATGGAGAACAAACAAACGTTGGAGTTTGACTTTCCTGACAATTCCAACAAACAAACCCAAGGCATTTTGTACTTGTACAAGATACATTTACCTGAGACCGAAAGGTAATATTTTTAAATTTCAAAGACATCTTTTATTCATAAAAATATCTTTATAACATACATAGTCACTCAAGCACTTCGGTTCTCTACAGTAGTATATGAAGAAACAAACAAACATTGGAGTTTGACGCTATTGAGCAAACAAACCAAAGACATCTCTTACTTGTACAAGATTATATTTACATGTGTTTGAGGCATCAGGAGGGTCCGATAACCGAACGGACCCCATTTAACTTTGGCAGAAAGACTTTAGACGGTGGTCTTTCCCCATTGCACGTTAGTGGCGGCTGCCCCAAAGTTTAGTGCATCCCTCAGCCCCAAGTCCTGGTCCTTGGAATGTGCCAGTCTGCAACATTCGGTTGGGGTCAACTCCTCGCTCTGGAAGACCAAAAGATTTTTTTATTTCAAAAATATACTTTATTCATAAAAAAATCTCTTCGTATATATACATTGTCACAAAATCAGTTCAGTTCTGCACAGTTGCATATCATGTAAATAAACAAAATATTGGACTTTGACTATCCAAAAAAAGACCTTTCTTACATGTACAATATTTAGATGTATTTGAGACACTAGGAGGGTCTGATAACTGAGCGGGCACCCATTTACCATCAGCATGAAGACCTCAGACAGTGGTCTTTCCCCACTGTGCCTTGGCAGCAGCTGCCCCAAACTTTAGATTAGTTAGTTTCTTGAATGCAGTGAGCAATAGTGAATAAACAGGAGGCTGGAAGAACACAGCATGCCAGGCAGCATCTGGAGGAAAGGAGAAGTCAACATTTCGGGTATTACACTTTTCAGGAATACAGCAGCAGTAAATGTTGGTGGCAACTTTAAAGTTTTTGGTTCTCTGTTGCTTTTTTCCAGTCATGTAAACTACTAGATGTTTTTCTTCTTTCTACATTCAGTTCTACATTCTGAATTCCACCTTTCTTGTTTTGTCTTAAAGCTCCTTGATAATTTCAGTAGTTGTTTCGTGTCCAGCATATGCAGATGCACATAACAATGTAAATCAAGTAGGAGTCGAGGAGCTTTTCACATTTCCCATGGGGTCTGACTGGCTGATTTTATACACCCTTAGAGAAAATGTTAATTTCAGCTCAGACTGTCTTCGGTCTAATCCATGTCACAAAATTTGGCCAATTTCTGTGGGTCAAGTGATCCCTGTGGTATTTTAAGTCAGTTGTTTGGTCCGTTTTGGAAAACTGTTTCTATCTATGAATGTTCCATGAATAAAATCAGCCGATGAAATTTGAGGACAATTAGTCCATACTGTATAATATAATGACACCATCTTCAATCAAGGTCAGAATTCACACGACACCAAGTTATACCTCAACAGGTTTATTTGAAATCACAAGCTTTTTGAGCGCTGCTCCTTCATCAGGTGATGTTTGTGATTTGTTTGTGATTTCAAATAATCTGTTGGATTATAACCTGGCACAAACCAAAAGAAATGCAGACGCCATAAATCAGAAACAAAACCAGAAGTTGCTGGAAAAGCTCAGCAGAGGAAGGGTCACCAGACCCGAAACATTAACTCTGATTTCTCTTCACAGGACTGTAACCTGGTGTCGCCTGATTTCTTACTTTGTCTACCCTAGTCCAACATTAGCACCTCCACACCATCTTCAATCAGTCTAGCTTGAAGTGACCAGATGAGCAGGAAGAATAGAAAAAAAAAATCTACACATTGTAATGTGACTGTTAATCCTTAATATGTGCACATATTTCTGGTTAAGATGGCGGCAGAGTAAGAATCTCCAGCTGGAGCTCCTCTGCTCGCCAGCTCCTTCTTTCTTTATTTTTCCTCTTGCTGCAGTTTTCCTTACCCCGCACCAGCTCCCACCCAACTTTTAACTTCTTAAAGTACCCTACCAGGAGGGAATGAAGAACGGAGTCAGAGACCAGACTGACACGGGGAGATGAGTCGCAGCCGGACTGGGAGGAGAGCGATCGCGGGCCAAGTCCCAGAAGTGAGTCGTGGCTCCGAGCCTGGAGCGGCGAGCAGAGCAAACACTGGCAGACCTGCGAGCTGAATCACATCCAGAGCGGGAGCACAGCGAGCCCAGGCCGGCCAGGGAGATGAATCCTGGAGGCCAGCTTGTGGAGGCAGTAAGGCCTTGTGTTCTGGTCACGGACTCAGAGGAAAAAGGTCTATAAATTGAGTACTTTAAAGACATTTTTAAAAATCTTATTCTGGACAATTTAAACTCTGTATGTTTTCTTTACTATTTCAATTCTGTAACAACACTTGAAGTATCTGTACCTGAGTACCCTGTACCTGAGATCAGTTGGAGGTGATGCCCTAGTGGTATTATTGCTGGACTGTTAATCCAGAGACCCAGATAACATTCTGGGGATCAGGGTTCGAATCCCGCCGTGGCAGATGGTAGAATTTGAATTCAATAAATATCTGGAATTAAGAATCTAATGATGACCATGAACCATTGTCAATTGTCGGGGAAAAACCCATCTGGTTCACTAATGCCCTTTAGGGAAGGAAACTGCCATCCTGCAATAACAGGCAGTGAATTGATTCAGTGGCTACATTGTCCCAGCTTCACAGCCAATGAGTGACTCCTGTACACCAGCCACACTCTGCAGATCATCCCTGCGCATCTGCATTAGGTCCCTGCTGGCTGAGATCACAGGATCATCTCCCACTGTGCACTCAGCAGGAGCCTGGTTTCCAGCGATCCTCCGACTGCAAGTAGCCTGGGTGTTTCTCCCTCACCTGTCTTGTGGAGCTGCAGCTATGTGGAATTCAGCGGGTGACCTCTCAGAGCCCAGCTATATTTCCTCATCTGTGCTGCTGGGGTGTTCAGGAGGTAGTGCCCTCTCCAATGAACCTGCACTGTCATCTGGGGAAGGTCAAGAATCTCTCGCGTGTGGGAGATGTGCTGGTCCTTTGGGTGCACACGTAAGACCAAAGAGGCAGAAGGCATTACAACCACTGGTTAGTCATGGTATTTGACACCTGGGTATTGTCACCGTTGCAGTGGGATGTAACGAGAGTTACCTCCTTGAATTGGGACAGGGATGTCTTTACATTCCAGCAGGGGCAGTCCCTGTCTTCTGCCAACACAAGAATCCTTTCCTCACAGTGGCATGGTCGCATGCTATCATTGTATGGTAAGATGGGCAGACATAGGGTGTGATTCTTGCTGTGAGGGCTAAAATGACAATTAATGTGTCAACACAAGTCCGCAACCTCCCCGTACAATCACAACTGCGCAGTGTCTCTCAATTCTGTTGTGTGATGTGTTCTCCTATAACGACATAAAGGGGTAAAATGAGTAAGCTGCAAGTGGATGGCATGGCTATTAGTGCTGGTGTGCATGTGGGAGAAATGTGGTGAGGTGTGCTGAGGAAGTGAGGAGGCAGTATGGAGGGCATGTGAGATTTGTCGTGATGACACATGGTGGGGTAATGAGACTGAGTCAGGGAAGATGTTGCAAGCATCAGAGGCTGTGTCAGCTTTGGTGGGAGGTGGGTGCAGTGGCACAGGTAAGTGTTAGGCAGCAGTCAGCAGAGTCTTGCACTTACCACTTGCCTGTTGCTTGCCACTTTAACATACCACCCTGTTCCCTGGCCAGCATCTGTGTCTCTGGCTTGCTGCAGTGTTCCAGCGAAGCTCAACACAAACTGGAAGAACAACACCTCATTTTCCGCTTGGGGACCCTGCAGCCCTCTGGACTCTATATCGAGTTCAATAATTTTAGGGCCTAAACTCTCCCATGTCTTTGCCCCCTACTACACACACCAGACCTTGTTACCACATAGCCTGCCATTACACACTACCTATTGTTAGCCACTAACAGTCTCCATTAACAGCTATTCACCCTCTGAGCCAGATCGTTATCAACTCCTTTGTCTGTCCAACTGCCCTTCTCTCTCTTTGGGCTCTATCCTATCTTTTACTCCCCACCCCTATCCCCTCCCTATTTTCTGCATATAAACCAACATTTTCCCAGCTACCTTCAGTTCTGAGGAAGGGTCACCGGATCCGAAATGTTAACTCTGATTTTTTTCTTCACAGATGCTGCTAGACCTGCTGAGCTTTTCCAGCAACTTCTGTTTTTGTTGCTGATTTACAGCTTCTGCAGCTCTTTTGGTTTTTATAGAATATTGCACTTAACTTGGCGAAGTGGAGAAGATCATTGATCTTCTTCCTGCACTGCTGCCCAGTCTTCCCCACATTGGAGATGGTGTTGATCTGGATGGTGAACCCTGACCATGCTGGCATGGAATAGTGGCATGGCCACCTCTGCTGATCCTTTGGGTAGAGGACTGCTCATGTCCCATCTGTCCATCCACGAGGAGCTCCAGGTCCCTTGCAGGGACACTGGTGCCAGTCTCCTTTGTTGCACCGTCTCTCCTGAGGGGCACAGTTTGCAGATTGCACCACTTCTGTAGGTGCTCAGTGGTCTTCGAAAGCTGATGCAGCCCCAGGGCATGTTGGTCCCACAGAGGAACTTCTGCTGAGCAGTGCATTATTCCAGAAACAGCGCACGGTAAGATGGGCAGAGATGGGATGTGATTCTCGGCCGTGAGGGCTAAAATGTCAATTAATTTGCCAAATCTGGGAAGACATGGTGAGCAAACGTGCTCAGCCTCACACTGTGAATCACTCCACCAAGCTCAATGCAACTCGTACTCAGCCAAATATTGGTAAGATTTGACCCAAAGAAACTGCCCTACTTCTAAACTTTCACTATAAATATCCAAATGTTCAGAAGCTCTCTTTTGTCAGTTTTATCTTTTATGAGTAAATCTGCAATTTTCTGCCCATATAGACAGCAAAAAAACATTTTCTTTTAATTGAGCTGGCCTGCCACAGGATATGAACTGGTTGTTTATGGAGTAAAGACCGCATAGTACTTAGCAGTTATCTGATCGAAGTGGCAAATGCGGCATTTCCTGTGTGCTTAATATTGAGGAGAGCTATGAGCGATGCTATTAGTTGTTTCGCATGGTTATTGGGCTAAATGAAACTGGAGGTTAAAACCAATGATGAGTTAAGAATAACAAAGAAAACAGGAAATGTTAAGAGTCAACTGGTAGGAGTCTGAAATGACTTTACTTTCAAACACAAAAATCACTGCACTTGATAGGTGAATTAAAACTGCATGTTATACTTTTAATAATTACCAATGTAGATCTAAAAATTCAAAATGTGACTCTTTTATAAATCAAGTGGAATAAATGCTCATTTTTAAGCTAGTGTGCAACTAAAGCAGTAATCAACAATGTCCCTCACATTAATGAAAAAGTTTGATCAGAACATCAAAAGAAAACATACCATATTTGGAATCAAAGCTTATAAAGGATCGTATTTGTTAGTGGAAGCTACTTATGAATATATGAATTTTGTATGAGTTTGAATAAAAAGCAGAAGCAAACCATTAGGCCCCTATAGACTGCTCGACTGTTCAATATGATCCTGGCTCATCTCTTTGTGTTTGGAATTTCACATTCCCATCTACCCCTGATAAGACTTGATTTCTCTTACTAACAATAATTTATTCGGCTTGTTCTTAAAAATAGTTCGTAACCTCCCCTCCATCGTCTTCAGAGGCAGTGTTCCAAAGTCGTACATCATCAGAAAAAAATAATTCTCCTCATCTCTCTCCTAAAATGGTGAATCCTAATTTTTAAACGGTGATCCTTTGTTTTGGATTCACCCACAAGAGGAAACATCTTTTCTGTGTTCACCTTACCAAGTTAATTCAAGATCTTATACACTCCAACAAGTCACCTCACTTTTCTATTCTCCAGTGGAAAAAGCCCAAACTATCCAATCTATTCTCATAAGACAACTAACCATTCTGGGTATCAATCTAATTTCTTCTGATCGGCCTCCAATATATTTATACCCCTTCCTTAATAAAAGAAACTGCACATTGCATTCAAGATGCAGTTTCACCAATGTTTCTATAACTGAAGCATAACATCCTTATGTTTATGTTCAGTTCCTCTCATAATGAAGAATAGAAATCTGTGAGCCTTCCCAATTATTTGTATAAGCATACTAACAATTAGTGACTCATATTAAGTCACCACAGTCCTACTGGACAATAGGCTGCTCTGTCATTAGAGCGAGATGACTGGTGGTGGTTTAACCTAAGGATCATCACAATTCAGGTGAGGGGAGAGTCCTTTGTGGTGATGTCAGGCAATGTGGGAATTAAACCCAAACAGTTCGCCTCACGTTATATTGCAACCAGCCAGCCAGCTGAGCTAACTCACTTAGGCACCACACATGACACATCCTGCAATCAGTAAAAAGACACTTTTATGCTCTCGGTTTCCTGCCAGTCAGCCAATCTTCTAATTGTCCTAATATGTTAGCCCCTGCACTGTGAGCCTTCCAGTTCATGCAATAATGTGCCACATAAACGCACCTTGTCAAATCTCTTCTGGAAATCCAAATACGCTATGTTTACAAACTCACCATTATCCACAGATTATGTTACTCCTTCAAAGAACAGATGAATTGATTTAACATGATTTCTTTTCACAATATCATGCTGACTCATCCCAATTACCTTGAATTATTGTAGGTGCACAGCTACAATCTGTTTAATGATCGATTCCAATACCTTCCCCATGACAGATGACACGCTTGTAGTTTCCTGTTTTCTGCAGGAAGGTATGCCAAAAGCAGCATACCTAAAAGTGAGAAATCAACCTGGTGAAGCTACCAAACAGAACTATTTTTGCACTAAACAGCATAAGCAGCAAGTGACAGACAGAGCTAAGCAATTCCTCAGCTAAAAGATCAGATCTAAGCTCCGCAGTCAGACCACATCCAGTCGTGAATGGTGCTGTACAGTTAAACAACTCACTGGAGGAGGAAGCTTCACAAATATCTCCAGCCCCAATGATGGAACAGCCCAGCACATAAGAGCAAAATATGAAGCTGACGAATTCCCAACAATCTTCAGCCAAAAGTGCCAAGTAGATGATCCTCCTTGGCGTCCTCCAGTGGTCCCCAGCATTACAGATGCCAGCTTTCAGACAATTCAATTCACTCCACATGATATCAAGAAATGGGTGGCAGCATCAGATACTGCAAAGGCTACTGGCCCTGACAACATTATGGCAACAGTACTGAAAACTAATGCTCCAGAACTATCTGCACCCCTAGCCAA